ACAAGGCATTGAGCCCCTTGAAACAAGTTCTGAGGAAGGTGGTGCCTTTCCTGGCCGCCTCAGCCTCCTGGACCTCCCTTTGGCTCTCTGTTTTCTCTGCTTCGAAATCATCCATGTTTTATGCCACCCAAATACACAAAATGTTTATATATATAAAATAGGGATGAGTTGGCGTTGGTGTTAATGTTATGGTATAATGCTGAAGATTATAAGTCTTAATCTAGGTGTCAATATCCTTGCTTAGGTGTCAATTTGTTGTTTACGTGTAGTTACTTAGTTGACAGAGTTACTTAGTTGACAGAGTCCTTGTTTGTTACTTAGTCTTTAGTTAGTGGGGATATGGTTCCTTGCTTTTAGAGATAAGTTTGTTTCTTGTTAGTCTAATTGTGGAGTGGTGGATCCTTGTATTGTGCAATTTGAATAAATATCAACAATTCAGTTCATCTTTTTTGTTGCATATCAAGTTCTTTTTTTTTTTTTTTAAGTAAATTTATTGATTGAGTTCAAGGGTTGCATATCAAGTGTTTGATTATTCATCTCTTAGAAATTTCTATTATTTTAACCCCTGTTTTTATCAGTTAATGGGTCACAAGTATATGCCCATCAACCCTCTATGTATATTGGTGTTAAAATGCTTGGTTTAAGAGATAAGTTGGTGAGGATAAGTAGATAGCCATTTCAACTTTCGACGTTTTATAAAGCACTGGTCCAGTGGATGGTCTCCTTTCTGAGCATTTTCCGAGAAATACATTTCAACTTTGAAATGGAATTCCACTAACATGACACATTTTTAGTGCGTAGTGAAGACTTTCCTCACGTTTCTTTTCTTTTCTTTCCTTCCCTGTAGCCGCATGTTTTTATGCATAACCAAAAATTATTGTTATGGCTCTGTTGAAATATACGTACAGACATATATATATATATATGTATATATATATTGTGATGGGTATCTTGCATATCCTAACTTGTAAAAATGCAGTAAGAAATTGATGTTTGATCTTTCTAAAATCAAGGTGGTTTTGTTGGATTAGGTTAGAAAAAAAGCTACACATTTTAGGGCATCTCAAATTGTTAAGAGTTTGAAACTCTAAATTAGAGATTTTGAATTCGAACATTGAAACAAGTAAAGAAGGATTAAGAAAAGAAAATTAAAGGATTATTTCATATTGTATGGTTCATTATCTGATGTAAAAAAAAAAAAAAAGAAGCTTCATATGTTCTTTCATTTGTCTGGATACATGCATGATCTAGCTATGGGTGTGAAGTTAGTTATAGAAAGAAGAAATATTAGTTGGAGGGCTTGCATTTAGGGTACTGGGCTTTGTAAAATCCTCTTAAAATGAAAAATTATTAGTATACATTTGGTTTAACACACTTTTCAATATTTGTTTTAATTTAATTATTAAAATATGATATAAATACAATAAATTCAGTTGGTTTTTGTATCATGCATGCATAACTTCATCTTTTTAAATTTATTTGTCTTTAATTTTAAATAAAAAATAATAATTTTTAATGAATATATTGTATAATATGTTGTATAATGTATTGAACTAGAATGTGCACCAATCAATATTTTAAAATATTATTTTTTTTAACATCAGAACCTCAAACTTAACAATATTTGCAATAGTTTGAACTCCTTATTTAACTCTAAATTAAGGTTTT